TATAATTATAAAAGTAACTAAAATGTAAATTAGGGGTCCTTTTAGGTTAGTTAATATTAGATTAGGTAAAATGAATAATAATATTATAATAAAAATGTTTCATGAGGAACACACGCGAGCAACCCGTGGGTAATGTAATTCATTAGCATAATGTGAGCTGCACATTCCCCAAGTGACTTACAACTTATAATGGTGTAAACAGTAGTAAGACATGGTTTAAAGGGCAATAAAATATAATTATAAATACATGTATACTGTTACAAAGTTAGAGCTACTTAGGATAAACGAATGTAGTTTCATATTACAATTTGAAGTCATTTTAGAAATAAATAAAGGGTAATTTAGGTTTATTTCGATTTTTTTTCTTTGGTGGTTACGAGGTTGGTCGAATTGACCAATTCCGTTTTGAGATAGTTAGAGAAAATAACAGATAAGCAATAAAGTTTTACTGAAAACAAACATTTGAAATGTATTTAGTAGGTTTTAGATTACACAATTTTAGGTTTTTGAGATGAAGAAAAATATTTTTAATCTTAACATGAAAATCCCTTTGCACACGGACTATTCAAAACAAATATTCGATATATTTAAGGATAAATCTTTTTTTAGTTTATTAAAATACTTCACTAAGAAATAGTTTTTGTATGTGAAAGCCTTATAATGTTTACTGGAAGACTGCCAAATTTCGTGAAAATATACACACTATATCAAAAGTTAGTATCAAATCTATAAAGACTATACGAGTAAAAAAGGTCACGTGGTCGATCAAATTGACTTAGTCTGTGTGGAGAGAGTTAAGGCATAAGATCCTTAAAATAATTTAATCAGCTATTTGATCTGAACACTGCAAGAAAAACTTTCAAACTGTTGATGATAATAGACAATACTCTGTATTGAAAATAGCAAAACATTATATGTCATTTGATAAATTAAAACTTTGTATTTCTCTTGGTTATAAATGATAGAAAATGTCAGATAGAATTATTGACAATTTGTGAAAGAGAGGATGTGATAGTTTGGCATGGCAAGTGAGTCTGACTTTTTAGTTTGTTTCTGAAGGTCATAAAAATATTATAATGAGTAATTTACATTATATTCTGTACTTCAGAGAAGGATGGCAAATATATTATAGAATTAGCAAGACCTAAAGAACAAATGTCATGATTCTCATACAAGGGAAGATTGAGTATTTATTTATATGTTTCCTTATAAAATTAAGAATGTAAAACTTCTATTAAAATTTGATTTGTTAGCTAATTTTTGGTGCGAAGTTTATTCATATACATTGATAATGAAATAGTTTGATTAAATTTTGAATGTAACTTTTTTTTTTAATGTAAAATTGTTGTGACATGCGCACTTTGACCTACCTGTAACATAAGGGTTAAGGAAGAAAGAAACATTACAGGAAATTCTTACAATATTGACAGCTTTGGATGGATTTAGCTTCAAACATATTACCATATGTAAGTTCATTCAATCCATCTTAAAAGATAAAAAGGACGGTTTTGCCAAAAGAACACCCAGAAATGATTATGCTTGTCATCAAGTATAGTGATGATCTCAAGGTTAATGTTATAACAGAAATATTGTCCAAAGGAGGCAGGTTTTTACTCTTTCTATATCTCCTCAGACAAATACACATCTTGAACAAGAAAGGATCAGTGAATTTAATCTTGCACCAGTTTGAACAATTTTGGAATCTTAGATTTCATCATATATCTGGCAAGATGTGAAAAAAAAAAGTTGGAGAAATACATCATCTGTATCACTAGTGATGGTGCCTTGGTAATGGTTAGAGTTGGTATAACAATTTTACCCAATCATCAGATCTGCTGTACAAACATAACAAAATAGAGCCAAAAGACTGGGGGAGAGGAAGGGTGACGAGCCCAGTGATGAAGAAGAGGAAGTGCTTGAATCTTCTGGAGTTTTTGAAGCAGATTTTGATAAGTCCAAGCTTTGAAGCAAAGTTTTATGTAAATAATCTGAATGGTATGCAGGGTTGTTATAATTTTCTTCATGTACCTGACAAGAAGTAAAAATCTTGCAAAGATACATCAAAGAAGAATACAGCTTCACCTCTTGTTGAATTCTAAAACAAGGTAGAACAGTTTACTACTGATGCTGGATATTTACTTGGACACAAGATGATTGGTCACCAATGCATTCATCAACCTAGAAATCAAAATTTAATTTTGTAACCAGAGTACAGCATGAGTAATTGCTAAAAATGGCCTTTGTAACCACATATCTTACCATGTATAGTTTTGGACTTCATTTTTGGTTGTATTCGTGCATCATTTTAGTTTTTGTCATGCTGATGTTCCTGCCAGGTCTTTGAGACCTTGATTTTATTTCTACGACAAATCAAAATTGGATTTTAAGTGCTGTGTAGATGTGAAGTTACCTTACTTTTGAAAGATGTTTATTGCTTCTTTCTCAATGACATGAAGAAGAATTATCCTAATATTTCAAGAGAGCTCAGAGAGTTGCTTTGACAAAATTTGCCCACAGAATACAATAAAACTGAGAGATTGTAAAGATACTTGCACAATTGTAATGAGTTAGAAAAAGATACGAATGATACCATTTTTTGATGTATCCTCAAAAACTTGCCAATCAAAATGACCATCTATCTTCTTGGATGAATATTAGAGTCAGAAAAGGATGATAAGAATGCAGAGACAAGCACTGACTTGCAACCAACATTTAAAGACAAGGAAAAAATGTATAAAATCTCTCAGATAACTTCCAAGATCTTGAAGACTACTGCTGAGGCCCTTATGGTAAAACACACACAAGGTGACCACTTGGGAAAGAAATGAGCAGCTGTGAGAATTTTCTTGACAGCAAGTTTATTCACCAAAACAAATTCATTCTAGGCTGAGCAACAAAGTCCTCCATGATTCTGTTTGCTTTCTTACGAGTCTTCTCAACTACAAATCTCACTTTTAACTAAAATTGTTTTGCAATATGACAGTAAAAAATTATCTTTTAATGTTTGCTGTAATTATTTTTTGTTAGGCTGCTTTAAACTTTATGGAAAACAGATAATTTTTGTAAATAAAACTAAATGAAAAATTACATGGTGTTCACCAGTGGGACAGTAGTAAGTCTACATACTTACACTGTTAAAATCTGGGGTTCGATTGCCCACAGCGAACACAGCAGATAGCCTAAAACAAACCAAAAACTACATTGGAATAAAAACAGTTTTACCTTTATCATTTTTTGTTTTATAGAGTGAAATGTTGAAAAAGAGACTTGGTTTTATTGGTTTGAGTTAAGACAAAACAAATTATAAAAATCAAACATTGGAAAGTCAGTAGTTGAATAATGTAAACTTGATTATAAAAATATAGTATTTAGAAACAGTCTCATCTGGTATTGCAAACAAAAAAACAGAAGAAAAAAATCTCCAACCATGGGTAAATTCATCTTTGTGGCTTCTTAGTCTCAAAGTGTTGTTATCCAATACAGTCATGAGTTTATGTGGGATTAGTAACTAATGCAAGCAACACTACAGTGCTCCTAAAGTGTGGAAGTTAGCAAAACCTTGGTAAAAACCAAGTAAAATATTATTTGTCTGAAGAATGTAACACACGTACACACTGGTGCTGGAGGTGTAATACTTATTTAGAAAATATTTTGCTGGAAAATTATAATTTTTAATTAGTGAAAACTGGATAATGTTTAGGTAATTGGTAAAATATTTTTTTTCAAAAATTAGGAAAATTTAAATATATTGAATAAATCTATCATGACAAAACCCTGCTAGAATAATGAGAATATGTCATTTGGCTATTTCTACAGTATTTTCAGGTGATTTACTCCTAAAGTAGCTATGATTTGTTGGCTGAAAATATTTACAGGAAAAATATGATCATAATGTTTAGACACATCACAAATTTTAATTATAAAGTTTTAAATCAACTTGTTAAGCCTTAAGTTTCTAGGTTATCAATGTCATTATGAATACTGTGTAGATACATCACAAATTTTAATTATAAAGTTTTAAATCAACTTGTTAAGCCTTAAGTTTCTGAGGTTATCAATGTCATTATGAATACTGTGTAGATACATCACAAATTTTAATTATAAAGTTTTAAATCAACTTGTTAAGCCTTAAGATTCTAAGGTTATCAATGTCATTATGAATACTGTGTAGATACATCACAAATTTTAATTATAAAGTTTTAAATCAACTTGTTAAGCCTTAAGATTCTAACATCAGAAACTTAAGGCTTAACAAGTTGATTTAAAACTTTATAATTAAAATTTGTGATGTATCTACACAGTATTCATAATGACATTGATAACCTTGTCAATGTCATTATGAATACTGTGTAGATACATCACAAATTTTAATTATAAAGTTTTAAATCAACTTATTAAGCCTTAAGTTTCTGATGTTATCAACAGCATTATGAATACTATTGTACAATTCTGTCAAAGATTTGGTGATTCTTGGTTGACTTTGACAACTTTTTAGAAAAAAAGAAATCAAATGATTAAATTTAACACTGTTATAGGACTTTGTACATTAACCAAAACGTTCTGTATATCACAGTGCTTTAATGTATTATATGAGATTTTTATACTATTTTTGACATATTACTTACAAATATCATGTTGTAATTAAAATATCCTAACAGTGAAAGTCAGTGTAATGAATACTTAAGAAATCATACAGATATTGTTTGTGATGACAAAAACAAGAAGTTTAAAGATAAGATTATTTGGTGGAACATGATGAAGATCTGCTGTAATAGGTTGAATTGTTATTTCCATATAAGGTTGGACAGGAGGATAAAGACCATTGTATCTTCCAAGATAAACAAATTCAGTTAACCAAGTCAAAAAATCAGACTACTTGGTATGGTATGCTATTATGTGACTGTGCTCCTCTTGAGAAAGTTTTGACCGAAGAACCATCTTTTTCAGATTCCACTTGCTTTATTTAATGTTGTTAGTTTCAAGTTTCATTCTTGCTTTGAAGATGATAAATAGTTTGAAGTGTTTTGTCATAACTTAAATGATGTTTGTAGGTGCAGCCATTGTTACAGAAAAAGAAGTTAAAGCATGCCATCTTACAATAAAAAATTTTCATTTATAGGGAAGATTTTGCAAAGTCTTCAATCAAAGCAGTGAATAATATAATAGTGTGAAATTAAATTTTTTTAAAATTGTATTATAGCCTCAAAATGTAAAATAATGCTGAAATTAATAAATTGGTGTATGTAAAAACCTTAGTTTTAAGTTGTTTATAGAGACTGATTCTGTTTATTAAACTAGTAGTTGTCATATTTTTACAGGAGACAGGAAAAAGAAAGATAAAGAAAAGAAAAAAGATAAGAAGGTTCAGATGTACACGATAAACCCTCACTTACTGCTATCCTGTGTTTATTTTGATCAGAATCACTGTGGTTATATTTTGGAAAAAGATACAGAAGAAATACTTCATACTCTAGGCCTTCATCTATCTCGTGCACAGGTAAGCTGTACACACTTTTTTTTTGTTGACAAAAACGTGAAAATAGTTCCGTGCTCACATTTTTTTCTGTAAGCCGTTATTATTTAAGTAATAAATGTACAGGATAGTTTTGCTAATTATTCATATATATTTATTGGGATTTATTTACTCGTTACTGCCTGAACATATTTTACTCATTTATTATTATTATTTCAGGTAAAATATTCTGTTATGTAATCAATATTTTTTAGTGTGTTTTAGTTTAAGCTAGAAAATTGGTAAAGTTTAAATTTACATTATTTATTTCAAACATGTCTTGTGTTTATTTTGTAAGAAATCTGTGATAACATTTTTCATGAAAAATAATTTCAGTAGAAGCTAGACTGATTTGCCTAATACTATTTCTTTGTATCAAATATCGAAACTAAACTTTGCATGTTATAAACTAATTCTGGTGCCTTTTGTTAACTAGTAAAATTTATTAAACATTAAGTTGCTTGATGTATAATACCATCTTAAGATAAATACTCTAGCTGTAGTACAAAAAACTGATTATCTTTATATATTTTACCATATTTTTCTCAAAAGATTAATCAACTGTAACATTTTATTTTGGAAATCACCTGATGTATTTAGTTTCTTTTGATGATATTTTGGTATCTATGCTGAGACCTTCTTCTGGCCAGAGTGTCTGGGATGATGTGATTTCCATAAATAGAAGTTTGGAAAATGTTCCCCACAGAGAGCTGCATTCGGTTAGGTCTTTCTTACTGGTTATGTAGCACAGTCGTTAGAGAGGGCTGTGTTTGAGTGTTTTTGTTAGTTATGTTATGTGGTCTTGATTGGGGACTTAGTTGTAGTTTTCTTCAGTATATGATTTTACAGTTTGCTGATTTTTTTATCTTGGTTTTGAGAGTTGGTTTTCAAGTTTGGATATGAACTGCTCCTTTGATTTTCCATGTTTTTGTCAAGTTTAGCTACCTCTAAAATGTGAACTTTGTCCCATTGTATGATGTGTCCAATTTCATCAGCATGGATGTGTAAAATCTTGGAGCATCTGTGTTTCCTCAGTTTCTGTATAAGTGTTTTCCATGTTTCTCAGTACAAAACTGTTTGCAAGAACAAGGCATTTTATAGCTCAGGTTTTTCAATCATAGAGTTTCTTGTGGTTGGTTGACTTTCATCAGTAGGTTTTTGAGTGTGGGTCCTATTTTGAAAAATACTTTTTTTGGCAGAAATTCGGGATTTTTTAATTTAGTTTCAGGATGTATAGTAAACTGCTAGTGGTGGTTGTAGATTGTGCTGGCTGTTTGAGGTAATTTTAGTGACTGGTCTATGAAACTGTGTTAGCAACTATTCAATTTTAGGATTTGTTTGAGTTTTTTGTTATCTTTTTCCATTTGAGAATCATTGATTATTTTCATTTGTTCTATTGTAAAGTTTTCTTATTAATGTTTTACTGCATGTGGATAGTTAAGTTCAGGTATCTATTTGTGTGGATTGATTTTATTTAGATGTCTGTAGTTAGGTGTGAGGTGATCTTGTCCAGTCACTAGCACATCCAGAAAAGGGTGTGATCTGTTGGTTTTTGTTTGAACTGTGAACTTGATATTTGGGTTAATGGCATTGTGGTGTTTTAGAAATTATGTTATGGTGTCATATCCGTATGACTAACTAATAAGTTTTTAAGGAAATGAATGGAGCATCTGTATGTACCCACAACACATTGAATTAGCCCACTCCAGACGGCAGAGAATATTGATATTTTGTAATATTTATTTAGGGTAATTTACAAAGGAAATTATAAAAAATAGAAGTTACAAAATGAAGTATTTTTAATGTCTTTTTCAAAACAGTGTATCATAACATTTTGGAAATTTCACGACTTAAAAATGATAGAAAAACTAAATTAATTTTTTTAAGCTGAAACTAGGTACTACTTAAGAAGTGTTCTAATGCTTCCTGCACAATTTGGTTAAATATTTCCACCATGACAAGAAAAAAATCAAGAGATATCAGTGACACTCCTCCAGTCCAGAAAGGGGTTAATAATCTCAAGCATATTTGTAAGATGTTGATTGTGTGTATTTGTGGTTTGTAATCCTGTTTACTTCCCAAAAATATATCTAATTATGTAATATAATTGTTGTAGTGAGCATTTTGTTTTATTCGATTATAGTATTGTGTTTAATATTGTATAACATATAACTACTGAAATATGTATGAAACAGAAAATATGTATTGGTAAAAATTATTTTGTAGTTAACCTGGAAATTAATAATTTTGTAGTTAACCTGGAAGTATACAAAATTATTATTTTTGTTACTGTTTCTATAAATAATTAAATCTTAGCTACTAATACTTTTCTTTTAGGTAAGAAAACTACTTCAGAAAGTTATCAAGAAAGAGAATTTTTATTATCGCAAATTTACTGACAATTCAGAAGCCATATATCAAAAATTGGAAAGAGCAGCAACAATAAAACAAGACTCTGAGACTGATGATAGCTTAGAGAAGCTAGCTAAAGGTTAGCTATGATTATTAAAGATGTGGACAATACTATAACTCAATTCATGAAATCTTTCAGATCCCGTGTTGATACAATTCTACTTCTGACATCGTAAGAGCATCAGTGTATGGTTTTCTTTGCTAGTGTTCTCCCTCATGAAAAAACACTGGTCATATATAAAAACCACAATAAGTAAATAAATACGGATCTTAAAAATGTATTTATTTTTTCTATTTCATGGCAATGCTATTTGTAACTGTTTTTTAAAGTATGGGTAATTATCTAGAGAAAAAAAGTTTGTTTCATAGGAGCAATGTAATAATAATGATGGGTTGATATTGCATTTTTATTGGACTAGTAAAAAGTGAATATACATTGTAATCAAGTGGTGATGGTACATTTGGAATAAATTTGCATATGTTGAGGCTGGCTAAAGGTTTAAGCAAGATTTTGAAAGAAAAATTAATGTATCTTAGGTCAGAGGGCTGATCGAAATATTGGAATTTTTATCTAATAAGGATTTTTGAATGTTGGACCAACTTTGAAATATTACCCATTTTGTGTTTTATATTTTATCTTTTTCATGTAATGTAATGCTTGCTTGCTAAATGAAGTAGATTTTCTTTTATAACCAATGGTTTTATTTTTTAAAAAATGAAATAAACATGAAATATTTTTTATTTGTCTCTATTAAACTTCCAACTGGTTGATGATCATTGTTTATGGCATTTGCTTCAATCTCTGAAAATTATATTTGAATTCACCAAATTTAGCACCTTATAACAAGAAAGGTTCAATTATTTTGTTTTTGTATTGAAGTATTTGTTACCACTTTTGCATAATAAAAATATTTTTTAAGGGATATGAGAATGTACAAAGAATTTGAATACTGTGTGTAATGTATATCGTTCTGAGCAGTTGAATAATGTTTATTTTTTGTCTTAACAAATTCTCATCATTTATGAAATCATTTTATAATAGGCAACAAACTGTACCTTCCACTTGTTAAATGGAAACCAGATGAAGAAAACAAACCCTCTTTAGAGAATGGAGATGTAGAATCTTCTGACATGAATACAACAGAAAGTAAAAATCAAGTTCCACCAATGGTGATGTTTCAGGGGGCTTTGTTAGACATTGAAAAACTCATGGAACAGCTGAAACGCAGTGAAAGAGCTCGGGCTGATACTGAGCTACGAATGAAAGAACTACAAGTTGAATTAGGTGAGCAACCCAATTAAGCTGTAATACTAAAGACAATCTTGCAGCTGTAAGTAGTATACGGGTAAAACAAAGTCTTATGTAGTAAACCAGTATTATTCAAACAATAATATGAATATGACATTATAGTGTTTTGTTTTATTCGTGGGCAGTGATTGTTTGTTTACAAACATTTTGAGAATACTGTAAAGAAGTTCATATTTGGTGAAAACAACACAAGTACAGTTATAAGACAAACCTCATTATTTGTTCTTGTACATTTTTAAGTCAAATTGACTGTAATTTTTTACTGTGTTATATTTAATATTATTTAGGTGTATGGGGAAAAAAATATAACTGACCACATGAGTTTGTATGTAGTATGCTTTAGTGTGCAGGTTTTTCTTCAGCATTTCTTATTTTTTCATTTTATATCTAGATGAAACAAAAGAATTGGCCACTTCTGTTAAAGAATTATCAGATCAGCTTAGTAAAGACCTTGAAAATACTAAGCAGGTGCTGAAAAAGACAACTGAGGAGCTGAAATCAAGTAAGCAACACTCAGACAAATACCAGCGATCACTGACTGTATGTATGAACCATATACGAACAATGCAGGGTGTTATAAATACAACTCTGGGATTCCAGTCTTCTTCAACAACTGGCTCAAATACCAATTCGGGGTCTTCTTCATCAAATTCAGTGTCTCTTGACGAACCTTCAACCAAAGTTAAAAAAGAAATGCAGGAAGATAAAAGTTGAACATGGCTTTATTTTACTGGATATGACTGAGTTGTCTGTACTTCATCTTTCCCACAGATTATGTTCTGTTTATACACTAAGGTGAAAGATGTAAAATAGTTGTGCACTCTTTGTTTATAAAATAAAAATGAAGAAACATTTAAGTTTGATTTAACAAGCTCATAACATTTTGCCCTTTATTTCCATAAACCATTAACTGGTTTATGACACGTATGTATGTTTTACATAACAAAGATGTTTTGGGTTCATACTGTTGCTTCAGCTCTGTGTAAAATTCTTACAAGTATAGTTATATATTTGTTAGATTTTCCAAAGTCTTGTTATACTATTCATGCAAATTTAGCACTGTAAATGTTTCATTTTAGTTTAAGTATTGACATTACATTAACTTGGTGGATTTAAAATTGTTCTTAAAGTGCCATTCTTTTCTATCTTGAGTTTTCAAAAGTATTCACTAGAGGGTAGGGTTTTAACAATGTGTTGAATGTGTGTTATAAATGATATGTCGAGCTAGAGCTTTACACCTTCAGATCATATGTATAGTACACAGTCACTCCTCTTGTTCTGGTACTTGGTTCTAATATGTGTTATCACATACATACTAATTGTTCAGCTGCTAATATTAAGTATCTTTGATGAAAAAAAACAATTGTACATCTTGGGACTTTTAATCTACATTTTGTCGTCTCAGTGATTTAACAAAATGAACATTTCTTATAATTCAGCTGCTAATATTAAGTATCCTCGATGAAAAAAAACAATTGTACATCTTGGGACTTTTAATCTACATTTTGTTGTCTTGATGGTTTCACAAAATGAACATTTGTAAAACTAGTTTTTTTTTAGTTTTTTTGTTCAATGAAATGCACAAGTGTACATTTTTAGTTTTTTATTGAAAAAAAAATTGAAAACTTCATTTATACAGTGATTGGTAAAAATGAATTTTATTATTGTAAAGTGAGAGATACATTATTATTTTTTTGTGTGGTTAATAAAATTGTTTGGTATGTAGCAAATAAAAACTATAGAAAGAATTACCTTGTAGTCTTGCCATACCAAGGTTCTACATAGTCAACTAAAGTTGCTTGAAAGTTAGCTAAAGCACTCTAATTATTTTTTTTTATGGAGCAAAATTGTTGCATTATTTTCCAGTAATTAAGAATATGTTACCATTACATACATGACAAGTATAGGTTACCTTATGTTTAACTGCTGTTTCACAAATGGTAAGTATTTTTTCTTTAAAAATCTTGACCTTGTGTTAAGCTTGGTACATATACTGTCTTCATATATGATAAAATAATTTTTGGTATAGTAATGCAATCCATACCTTTGTGTGTGTGTGTGTGTGTGTATAGTTCTTTTTTTTTTTAAATTAAAATTTAAATACATTTATCTAATGGTTCTTAAGGCTTTGTTGGTTAGTAAATGTGTTTTATTTTGGTGAAATATAATTTGAAATACTTAACTCGTATATAAATGATGATTTCATGTAATTGGTAGGTGCTGTAGCAAAATTTGCTTAGAATAACGTAACTACACACTTAAAGACTGTTAAAGAATGACCAAAACATGCTGATTGAGACAAAGTATGTAGATGTTTGAAAACATTAATATTATGTAATAATTTTTACAATTGTATCCGATCAAACTTTTTTGAGAATATTTTGATGTCCTGGAAAAAGCTTACCTTTCAAAACACACAGAAAATACGAGGTGATAATTGTAAGTATCATGCCAAAGTCTCTTGATGCAGATACAAAAAAGTAATCGGAGATTTTCAGAAAACTCTTTCGTGCTCCTGTAATAATGTACTGTAAGCATTTAGTGCTTGGTATGATGTAGCAACCATTCCTGGAGCCTTATCTAAGTTTACTGGTTGAAGTCTAACTATCGATGTTCGTGAATGTATACAGCATCAAAACTTGTTAATTATGCATGAGACGTAGCCTCGTTGTTACTGTTGCGACGATCCTCGAATCTGTTTTACGTGGAGATGTTTAAAGATCCTCGAACTGTAACCCAGTAATTACTTTCCAGCCTGCATGATGCTCTTCTTATTTCTTTTAATCTGCGAAATGAGGGAATACGAAAAGCTGGAATATCCAAAGTACACGAAGAAGGATTTACCCAATTAAAAAACGAAACTACATTTCTTAATTAATTCATTGTTTTTCTTGGAGTTCTAGAAGTTTTCTTCCAATTGACATTTTATCTCGCATTGGCAGATTACTTTGTAACTCCCTGTGGAAAGGAATCTTTGATAAAAGCCAAAGTTAAGATTCAATTTAAAATGTTAAAGTAAGATTAAAATGCAAATTTTAAAAGACGACACGTAAATGTAAACATTATATTTTAAGTGCTTATATATATATGTATATAAATGACTTGCTTCATGTTAGTTCATGCGAATATATATATATATATATTCACACAGACATATATACAACATATATTTACAATGTCGAGGACTGTTACAGTACTAATAATATTTATACCTAATTTTTTTATACATAAGTGTGACAAGCTTATGTTAAGCCTCTGTGCGTTCTGAATACTATGTTATTAAACTAAAATCCCAAATATGAATCAAGTAATACGGGAAAAAAAAACGAAACTGGTTCGTAAACATTCTTTCTTTAAAAAATCGAGGTGTTTCCTACAGCAGCTGTTCTCAAGAGTGCTTATATTTGTTGTTTTTTCTACTTGAGATGACGACTGATAGCACTAAGTCAACAAACACCTAATTTCCATCAGCGGTATATGACATTTTGTAGTAAACGGACTCGATTGAAAAAAATGACTTGCTTTACGTTAGTTCATACGAATAACGCTGCTAGTTCGCCTTCACTGCTATCAAAAACAGTGTGTACCAAGTTCGTATAATCACTTTAAACAAATAGAATTCAAAAAATATTTGTATTAATAAAGATGCCAGATGAAAAATTATTCAAATACGTAATGTTGAAGCCATTTAGCCTTGGAAGTTATCGTAAAATATCTAGTTAATTGAAATACAGTATCTTAAGATAGAAATTAAGGTACTGTTAAATGAGACTAAAGTTTTAATGCATTTTATGAAATTTTACGAAATAAAAAATTTCAAAATGCAATTTGTATTATCAAAAAATCACAATGTTTTTAATTAGAGAAGCCAGTAAGAGTTCGATATAGATGTGCTCGTTTTTTGCCTCTTTTATGTTGTTTGTGTGGAATACTCTGTCATACTTCATACGTAACTATTCGTAACAGAATATTCCCAATATATTAGTTACTAGTAAGTTATGTGCAAAAATGAATTCTGTATACATCTGGAAGCCAAGATTGTTCTTATACTTAACTAGGAAAGGATTTTAGAGGTGAAATATTTATAAAAATGATAGAATTAGGCTTAATTTTCGTTGTTGTTTTATTGTTCGCCCTAAAAAAAAAGTGTTCTAATGCTGTTACAGATTGCTCCGATATTCGAGTAAATGTTTAATACAGCGCCTGAGTGGATATATTATAATAAACTGTTGTATGCGATAATTAACCTTGAGGAAAACAATAAGCATTTCAGAGGAATGTATAATACGCATCTCTAATGAAACTGCTCTATTAAACAGTTTTACGGCATGTGGCATAGATACAGTCAGGTACTTCCTTTTATTTTGAATCATAAAATGAATAAAATAGAGACCTACCTACCTGCTACTTCGCCGATTATTAAAACCAGGTTTCTGTTTAAATAACAAGTATGTTGATACAGTTTAAATGTAAGAAAGTAAACCTACAGACATCGGTCTTGTTTAACAAAATCTGCCTACAGTTTAAATCACAAACACGACCAAGAAATATAAACGAAGACTTCTGTTTTCAGTCCGCCTCCTTCTTTTGTTAACGTTTTTACGTTGTATACACGCTTACAAACATTGTAACGTATCAAATTACTCTGTTTTGAAATGTATCTTTTATACTTATATGTAATTTGATATTATGTTTTTACCCCCGCTTCCCAGAGTAGAGAATAAATATAGCGCCACCATTGGCATAAACTGTAAACTACGGCCTTACAAAACTTTCACGAGAGTCCCAGGACCGTGTTCAGTGAGCGGTCTTAACGGAAGAAGTGTCTGTACTGTAATGAGGAATGATGCCGCATCGCTTCCTACGGCAAACGCTTGCACTGGGTTAGTTGTCAGAATAACTGTTTCGAGACTTGTATTTTTCTCGCGATCATAATTAAAATATGTCTGATATCAACAGTAATGTGGACCTACATAACAAACAACAAAGATAAAAATGATGTGGATAATTCTCGAGACACAGGTAAAAACTTGATTTAAATTTTTAATAATATATGGTAAAATAAGTCTGAATTCTATTATGTAACCTATGATTTAGTTATTAGTCTAATATTTTAAGTTGTACTCTGCAAAGTCTGTTTATCACACATCGTTGATATAAATTTATTGAGACGTAATTATAGTGTGCACAGTAATTTCCATTTGTTGTTCTCGCATGTGTTTTATATACATAAGCGTACTAACTTCCAACTTCGTGAATCAGAAATTAAAGAAAGAAAGAAACACTAGATACGATGTTGAATAAAGATATAGGAAAAGTAATTTGACACAATGATTCTGGCCTAAGTCCTACTTCGGGTGATGCAAAAGTTAATTTTTTTCATGTACATAGTACCATTACTCTGGTTTATTTCTATTTATACTCAACCAATGTACAGAAAAATAACTGTTAAAAAGCAATAAGTTCAGACCCATTACCGAGAACTGAATTAGAGATACCGTCAAAAAGGTAAATATTAATAAGTACAATATATTCATCCAACAATTAAATTTTACTGCTATATGAATATCATACAAACACATAATAGTGAATTTTACTTGTACCGACAGATTTCAACAATTATGAACGAATGTTAACAATTACCAGACATCACGTTACACTTTTTTTTTACAATCGACATTTTGTAAATAATAAACTTTGTAACTTACCTACAGCCAATCTTCCTATAACGTTTGTAGAATAAATGCACTCAAAAAAAATAATAATAATTTACAGATTATCTCTACTCTAAAAAATTAACTCAAAGCTTTTCAGGTACTTTAGGTTAAGAAATATTAACAGCCGCCTCACCCATAACTTACTAATCAAATATCATACAATGTATACCAATAACACGAACATAACTAACCATAATCATATATGTTACCTCTATTCTGAAATTTACTATTATCAAATGGTTATAAATTATACTAGTTATTTACAACCATTTATTTTAAGATTTTCGGAGACAAGAACATTATCATACATTCTTCAGGATCTACAACTTCAGGATCAATGCTAACGATAAACGTATCGCAACTACAAGACAATGAATGATATGACGCTATTTTCTTCTCAATAACATACCAGCAATTATACGACATATATTATTATGCACTCTCTGTCAATTAAGAACATTTTTCAGTTGTGGAATAAGATGCTGCTTGATTTCATTTTCTCTTCAGGTGACTCATTACCTACGTAGGAGTTGTAATCAGCGTCTAAAACTGTTACTTATGTTTTAATAAGGACTACTACAAATAAAATTACGTTAGTTCTTTAGCATTGAGACGCAGAACTCATGTTATCATCCATATTCTATCGCGAGGCTCTATCCGTGGTTGAGGAACTAATGAAAAAAAAAATGCATGCATTTTCAGTATTTCATAACCAAAAACAATTTTTTCTTAATTTCATTCCCTGCTTTCCATCCTAATACTGGCTATTAAAGTCTAGGATTTACAAAATACTTTTATCCACTGAGTCAAATACTGAAGCATACATACAAA